GGAGCATGATTTCTGTTCTCATCCTGAAGCAAAGTTCTTAACCTGAAGCACTATTTCTGGGTTAGCGGAGTCTGTAACCTGAAGTGTCTGTAACCTGAAGCGTATGTAACCCGAGGTACCACTGTATTGTTGAATGTCATGTGCCAGGTTCATAGGTTTGTTGGTAAGACTGACTTTGGCATGAATGAATTCTTAAAGGATATTATAATTTGCATGGCCCTTCACTTCTGGTATTGCAGCTCCTGCTGGATTTTGAGAAAAGGGTGTACTACATAAACAACATGTAACTGAGACATAGAGCAGCTGCAGAAGCCAGCACATGGAGTTCTTCTTGTCCGAGATTGCAAACATGATTAGAACAAGTATTATTATTAGAGAGGGGGAAAGGAGATTAGGTGGCATGAATGGCCTTGAATGAGAAAGCACATTTCATCAGTGACCTCCCGCTGTGATTCATACATTTATTACTCTTGTTTTGAAATTTAAATGAACCCACTGTTTTATTTTCAGAGGTGCTCCGAATCTAAAACTCCAATTGAAGTTGATATAAGCGACGGAGTTTCAACACAGCTGAAAATGAAAGGATGATAATAATGACAATAATCATCCCCTGAAAGTTTCTGGAATTGTGCTGAAAAACAAATCTCCCAAGCCACTTCAGCCATCCTTTGCGCTGACTGTCTTACAAATAAAACAAAACTGGGTGCCATTTTGTCATGGGAGGAGAGAGAGCGATGAATGCATGATGCAAATGTAATGACACAAAACTAGTAGCTTTTAGCCATTCCTTTGCATGTTATTCTACCCATGAAGCCTTTGACTTCATATCATAGGTAAAGGTAAAGGGACCCCTGACCATTAGGTCCAGTCGTGGCTGACTCTGGGGTTGCGGCACTCATCTCGCTTTATTGGCCAAGGGAGCCGGCGTACAGCTTCCGGGTCATGTGGCCAGCATGACTAAGCTGCTTCTGGCGAACCAGAGCAGCGCACGGAAATGCCGTTTACCTTCCTGCTGGAGTGGTACCTATTTATCTACTTGCACTTTGACGTGCTTTTGAACTGCTAGGTTGGCAGGAGCAGGGACCGAGCAACAGGAGCTCACCCCGTCGCGGGGATTCGAACCGCCGACCTTCTGATCGGCAAGTCCTAGGCTCTGTGGTTTAACCCACAGTACCACCCACGTCCCAATCATAGAATTGTAGAGTTGGAAGGAACCACAAGGATCATCGAGTCCAACTCCTAGCCTCCTACCATTGCAGGAATTTTTAGTCCAATGTGGGACTTAAAACCGTGACACTGAGATTAAGAGTCTAATGCTATACCAACTGTGCATTCCAGACTCTGTTTAGGAGGAATGTGGAGAAATTTGACTTGCACCACACTTTTTGCTGGCTAATTTCCTCCAGGTTGCTAGGTCACACAGCTGAGCTAGAAGAGGAAGAGGAAGAAGAAGAAGAAGAGGAGGAGGAGGAGGAGTTTGGACTTGATATCCCGCCTTTCACTCCCCTTAAGGAGTCTCAAAGCGGCTAACAATCTCCTTTCCCTTCCTCCCCCACAACACTCTGTGAGGTGAGTGAGGCTGAGAGACTTCAGAGAAGTGTGACTAGCCCAATGTCACCCAGCAGCTGCATGTGGAGAAGTGGGGAAGCGAACCCGGTTCACCAGATTACAAGTCCACCAGTCTTAACCACCACACCATGCTGGGTTTAGAATAGGCATAAGTCTGTCCTTGCCCTGTCCTCCCCCTGCTACTACTGGCCTGCAAGCGCTCCAGTTGGAGAACAGCCTTTACCAAAGGTGTCATGGACTTTGAAGACCCTCAAACTCAGAACGCAAGGGAGAAATGTGCTAAGAGGAAGGCACGCTTGGCAAATCCACCCCGTGATCAACTCCTGCCCAGAAACCAATGCCCCCACTGTGGAAGGACGTGTCGGTCCAGAATTGGCCTCCACAGTTGCTTACAGACTCATTCTTAAAACCATGTTTATGGAAGACAATCTTACTCGGCTACGCGTGATCGCCAAAGAAGAACTACCCCCAGAAAAACCAGGTTGAAAACAGGTTGCTGGACAAAATGAACCCTGGATGCCCAGTCCATTCAGGTGGATGGGATGCTGCTCCATCAATCCCAGCCTGCTCCTCCCTTACAACCGGTCCAGAGGGTGGCACTGCCCATCAGCTTCCTCCTCCATAGGCTTAGTGTTGTCAAACACAGCAGGGAAGATGATGGAGCAAAACTAGAATTAGTTGACTCTGCCTCCTCCTCCTCCCAATGGGCACCAGCCACCACTGAATCCTCTTACGTTCATCAAATACAGGGCACTGAGATGATACAGGGAAGCGGGCAGTTATGGAGAGGAGTATCAGATGAATACAGGAGCTTAGGAAAAGTGGAAGAGGCAGTGGGATGAGGGGAAATGAGAACAGAGAAGAAAGGTCAACCATGGGAGCTGGGGACTTGGTATGAAATGCAGGAGACACGTGGCCTTGAAAGAAGAGGGAATGGTCTAGCTCAGGGAGAAGGAGTCTGTGGTCCTCCAGGTGTTGTTGGGTTCCAGGTCCCATTAGCCCCAGCCAGCATAAGTCAGTGATTGGGAGTTGTAATCAAGAAACACCTGGAGGGCTACAGGTTCCCTACCCCTGTCCCAGAGATAGGAGAGGGGGTGTTGTCAGTGGACTTAGAAGGCAGTAGACTGGGTGATAGAGGCCCAGAAGAGTGGGAAATCTCACACGGGTCCTAGGGAGAAGCGGGACTGTGTGCTATCGATGTAAGACATTTATGTGGAAGTGTTTAGGCTGGCTCAGTATACTCAACCAATTCATTGGCAGGGGAGGCAAGAGGTCCAGAGTCAAAGGTTCAGGAAAGAGGCCATGGGACTTCCGGGGTGGCGCCTCCGGAAAATGGCGGAATTCCCTTCGGACTGAAGGGAACCCGCTGCACGGAGGCTTGGGTCCTGCCGCTACGGCGCAGCGGGGACCCGCAAAAACCACAGGCGGAAGAAGCCTGTGGACGTGGGACTCGGCGGGCACCGAGCGCTCTCTCCCCTTGTACAGGAGCCCGGTAACGGGCTCCGGAGTGGGAGGTGCGTGGTGCTGTGAGTCGACTGCTTCCTCCGTGCAGCAAAGCCGCACTGCCGTTATCGGAGAGCGCTGCCTTTTCCTGGACAATTTGGCATCTAAAATATCTATCCGTGAGTACCTGATCTTGGAAGAGTTGAACCACTTTTAAGACTGGTGAATAAACAAATAATATTGGACTTGAAATTGAACTTAATTGGGACTCGGAATGGGAAGGTCTAAACAGGAAGTCGCCTTCCGTTCTTTTGTTATGTGAAGAAAGCAAAGACAAAATATACTAAAGCTTGAAAATTAAATTCTAAGAGAACTAGAATTCAACATCTAAGATTTCTAGAACCCCCTTTGACTGCAGGAGAAGAAGGGGGTTGTATTTGGACTTTTCAATCCTGCGGAAGTGAGTTTAAAATAAAGCAATTTTCCACCGCCCTGAACCAGGAGCGGGCTGTCAGAATTGACGTTCTGAAGTTTATCCAGCTCGACAGTTAGTTAAAAGAAGGGTAACATTTTGATTCTACTGTTGCCTCTTGAATTTGGAAGGGGAATTTTGGATAAAGTGTTTCTGGAAAAAGAAAGATTGTTGCTGTTGCTTTTATTCCTTTAAAAAAAAAAAAATTCCATCTAGTGGAATTTAGTGAAATTACAACGCAGAGAGATTAAAAGAGAAGGACTATTGGACTATTGTCGTGGGAAAGAATTTTCTTTGACCTTGAAGGACAATGCTAGTACAAAGGCTTGAACAATTGTTCCTGGAAGGTTTTTCAAAACTAAGTGCCCAGCTGGACCAGATGCGTCAGGAGACGACCTTGATGATGGAAGTTACCAGAGCACAGCAGCAAACAAATGAAATTCAGTTAAAGGCTATACAAGCATATGAACCTGCTGTAGTGACGGAGGCTTCAGAGATGGAGGGACCTTTGGACGGGCAAGATCAGCCTTTGAACTTGATAAATGAACTTAGGACAAACCAGATTCGGAAAGATGAAATGTGGTCAGATTTGGAAATGGGGGGATGGATCGATCCCCCTCCATATGGTTATTTGGACCTTCCGAGTCTGGTGATGGGCTATCAGAGGATTGGAGTAGCCGAAGTCTCCAAGCTTTGTGGAAATTTGAAGTGGTATTATTTGCTGTCTGGCTTGGGCAATGGGTTTGGGATGGACTTGCTGCAAAGGGTCAAAAGCATTTTCTTGCTGGAGCATCCACGACTGGAAAGGAATCATCAACAAGAGTGGCGAAAGGGGCAAGAAAGAGACTTGAGGGCCTCGGATACGAGACAACCAGGTTAAGGAGCCGGATTATCGAGGTTAAAAGGACTGACAATCCCGGGTCCAGGGGAGGGAAGGTTGGAAGCTGACTGGACTGAATTTGACTTATTATTTTTCCTTTTTATTTTTAATATTGGGAATGCTTACAAATGTTTGAAGGATGTTGAATGAAATTACATGGCTTAAGTAAGGATTGGTAAATGATTCAGTAAAAGGTAATGATGCAAGAATTTGGTAAATATTGAATATAAGCTATGAGTCTTAAAGTTTTTATATGACAAGAGGGAAAATAGAATAAGGAAACGTAAATGACAGATTGTTATGATAAAACAGAAAGGATTTGCTGTAAAAATTAAAAATTTAAGAAACAAAAGAGGGGAGGAGGAGGAAGTCTAGAAAGGAAGTCAATAGAGATTGTAAAGGACTTTATATTTTTGTTTTTTTTGTTTCTCTTTTTTTTTCTTTGCGGCTGGGTTTTCTTTTCTTTTTTGTTTATGTAATATTTTTGTTTTTTGTATCCTCAAATTTTTTTTGGAAATTTTTGTTGTTATTCTTTGAAAACTTAATAAATATCAATTATTAAAAAAAAAGGAAAGAGGCCATGGACTGAGTTTCACACTATTGATTTGAAATAACCAACCCAAATTTTACATAGCTCCTGGTCTCAATAGTCTGGATCAGTGTCAGCATCATCTTGAAGCAGCGATCTTCCCTGCCAGGAAGTTTTATAACCTGTTTCCAAAGGCGATGTCTGAAGAGCAGTCCTTTGTTCTTGTCAAATTATTTTCAGAATAAGCGAGCAAAGCTTTTAGATGCAACTCCGAAGCTAGGTGCTCCTCGTGCTTCTGCAGTGGACATGGCAGTCCACGTAGCAGTTTTCTCCCCAGCTCAGTGTCAGCCTTCAAGGAGATGGGTGGGATGGTTATTGATGATGTGAAGAGAACCACAACATAGACTCCAGCAGGTCTTCCTGAGGCTTAGCAGAATTCTTATCCTGCAGGAATTCCCACTTCACCAGTGCATTGTGGACTCCCAACCTGAGTGGGATACCCTTGGCTAGATTTGTGGACACACAAAATAACAGAGGAAATTAAAAAGCATAGCAGGACCATCCTATGATCAGTACGAACATTCAGTTACAAATGGTTGTAGCAGAGATTGGTGTGGATTAAAATGCATTTTTCCAAAGAATTGTCAGATGAGCCTTGTATCGCGTGCCATTTACATTTAGATTTTATCGATTCATTAGATGGAATGAACTTGCCACGAACTCTTTTGTCAATGTTGCGCAGAGTTGTATTAAAACAAAACACACACACACACATATAAATTGCAACTCAAAAAGGAGGAGAGATTGCTCCCAGGCCTTTAAAAAAAAAGAAAAAAGAAACATTCTACATTCCTCCACTTTGGATAACTTTTTATCATTTCAAGCTGGCTGCAACAATCTGGAAATCCTTACATCCTAATTCTTTGAGAGCCTGTATAATAGATGTTTCCAGTTCAGGAAGAGACATAAGATTAGCAAATGTGTCATGAGCAGTAGGTTACTTTACCCTCACCCCATCATGTATAAACTGATTAAATGATCTCTATACAAGCCATCAACCTAGGGGGAAGGAGTGTGATGGCTGGATAGGAAATTCCACGAGTAATCTTCTCTGTTCTAGTTTTATTTTTCAGCACTTTGCATGAAATCAAGGTCTAGTTTTCCTGGGTCCCAGGAATCCATTAGGCAGAACAGATGATACTGTACTAAGTTATTTCACATGCTCTGTCTAAATCAGTGTTTCCCAAACTTGGGTCTCCAACTGTTGCTGGAATGCAACTCCCATCATCCCTTGCTAGCAGGACCAGTGGTCAGGGATGATGGGAGTTGTAGTCCAACAACAACATATGGGGACCCGTGTTTGGGAAATGCTGGTCTAAATAATCTTTACAACAACTCTTTGAGGTTTGCCAGTGTTGCTGTTATTTTTGCTAATGATTATTGTTGTTGTTGAAAGTATTATTAGCAGCATTTGCACAGCACGTAACTGGATGTTCTAAATGGCTTCGTGAACGTTGTCTCAAAACCAAGCCAGATCCTTTGCTAAATGCATGGCTGCTGCATGTAACATCTAGTAGAACTTATCTGCATCTTGATACTTAGCAGGGATAACAACAAGCAGGGATAACAACATGCAGGACATCTTGAGGTCAGAGCATGGGTAAGTTCTTCCAGATGTTATGGAAGGGAACAGAATATGCAGTTGCCATTTTTGTTGGTAGCTGCACATTTAGAGTAACATCTGGCTTAGTAAACAGGTAGGTGGATCTTTTTCTCATATGTGGTGGGCTTGCAAGAAAGCGAGGGCATTTTGGGAAATGATACATGTTGAGATAAAAAGATGGTTAAAATGAGTATATATATATATATATATATATAACAGTAGAAATAGCTGGCAAAATTAAGAGAAGCTAATGATGAGTGTTTTATGGAAGAATGGATGCCTTTTTCAGACTATTTAAAGAAATATTATAGTGCGATGAACTCGCAAGCAGGCTTTCAGTTATGAACAACAGAAATAGTTAGATTTTAATATTGTGGTTATGATTTGATAGATAGAAGGCAGGGAGCAGCAGGAGGAGAGAAACAACTCCATAGGAAAAGAGGTGGGAAGTAGACAAAAATAAGAGAAAAGATGAAATTGTGTTTTGATTGCATATGTTAAAATGTTGAAACTTAATAAAATATAATTGACAAAAAAAACAGAGTAGCATCTGAACTGACCCGCTGTAATCCCTGCAAGGACCCTTTCAGATGGCATTATTATCCTTATATACGAGTACATAGCCTAGGCAAGTTTTGAACCAGGTAATTCGTGACTGGAAGCTCAGTCTCTGAGCTACCACGTTTTGCTACTATGCTGCAGTATATGTGGGTATTAAATGAGGGCATTGTCACCATCCATTGTCACCGTGGATGGGGTCGAATGAGATGGGGGGGAGAGACTTACTGAGTACAGAGTCGGAAAGCTTTGATTTGAGTTTCAGGTGATCAAACCAATATACTTAAGGTACAGAGGTCATTTACAGTTGCAAGCACACAATAAGGGCTCAAACCAAGGGATGTTTGCTTGTCTTATGAAATGTTGTGCATTTGGCATACACGCTGGGGATTTGTTCCATTTTAGCAAACCTGGCAGAACCTCGCTGTGACCTAAATAAGAATACCTTGCTCTATATATAAAGCCTGCATCAGGATGTTTCCTGATTTATTCATGAAAGGTTTGCTTTACAAAGGCATCTGGAGCCTTTATAATCTCCAAACACATGATACATATAGCTTGCCTCCTCTGTTGGCATTTGCACAAATTGCTTTGAAATATGGTTATAATATATGAAAGCACACTGAAGCTAATTTAAATACATGATGCTGGCATAAATTGGTTAAAAGCGTAAATGAGACCGAACATACACATTTTTTTCCTCGCTGCTGCTGCAGAGACAAGGTTACATTCCTGAGTGAATAAATGATGGAGGGGGTTTGCAAACTTAACCTGTTAAGTGGATAAAATCTACCTGTAATAATTGGGAATATATCGGAGGGAGACTTTCAGGTGATGTAAACTGTCAGAGATCTCTTGGGTCTAATGGGGTTTTCACCTTCCCAGTTCTTTGCCTTTATAATATTTCATTAGCTCATTCAGGTGTGGAGATCTACCTTGCTTTAATTTGATCATGGTGTCCTTCATTTCTTGCACTCTTTAACCCCTACCCATGAAGAAAGAGAGTATAAATTAATCCTTAATGGTTAATTCATACACCCTTCATATAGTATCTGTAATGGTGCATTTTCTCTAATATCTTCTGCAATTTCTTGCTGCAATATTTTTAACTGTGGAGCAGATGGGAACTGGTTGCTTGCAAGGAAGCTTTATTTTGGAGGTTTGGACGAAATTGGTTTAATTTACAATAGAATGAAAAGTGACATTTGTAAAGATGGTAAGAGTGAAATGCCAGGATCCATTATACTGATAATTCTACAAATGTGCCGGCATTCTCCTTTGGTGAGTTAATGCTCAAAACCCATCAACATTAACTTGCTAAGCCCATTGCAGCTTAATGGCAAATTTCCAGATCTCGACTCTGCCAAACATCTCCCTTGTAATAAATGAGGAGGAGGAAGACGAGAGAGAACATATTGTATTTCAAGTAAATTCCACTAGTTTGGGTTAACACTGAACCACCAAGGTTCTCCTAATGTGGGTTCTGAAGTAGCCGCTGTTGAATGGCCTCAGAGTCAAAGGTAGCCATCTGGAGGCAAGCAAGCAGGCATGCGTGGCAGTGCCAAAGCATTTCAAACTGTGTCTGAGAGAGGAGTCGCTCATACGCAAGGGGCCTGACCAGGGCTGGATTTAGGTTTGATGAGGCCCTAAGCTGCTGGAGGTAATGGGGCCCTTGATATGGGGGAATGACATAAGTACCAATCAATGTAAACTTCCAGGTTAGGGGAGATTCTACGAAGTTTCTCAGAAAGGACTGGTGGGACTCCCTGAATTTCATTTTCCCCCTATTCTTGGTGTTTTCTAGAGGAAAAAAGCTTCATCCATGCCAATCTGGCATTAATTGTAGTAAGCAAGATGATAGCAGGCTTCCATTAAGAAGTGGCGTGGCAACTGGTGGCCACATAGATTATGTGATGGCAATGATGATAATATTTTTTAAAAGCTGGGTGATATTTAACATTCGTGGGCCTAATTTGACCTATAAGTACTTCCTGGAAAGTTATTATAGAAACAATTTATCCTGGATGTTTTCTTTTTTGCAGCCCCCTTTATCCTCTGCCTGATTTCTCCTGTGATTTTAATTTGATCACTGTTGTTGATACATTTATTTATTTTTTATAATTGGGGGGGCCCATGTTTTTAGCTGTTCTTATTTTCTCTGTAAGCCACCTTGAGTCCCTGTCAGTGAAGAAGATGGGGTATAAATAATTATATATTAATAAAAATAAAAAAAATGAGCTGGGGAGTGAGAAGGGCGGAACACTCCGTGCCCCCCCCCGCACCGCTTTTTACCAATTGCTTTCCTTCTAGCTGTCTAGAAATCCCAATACAGTGGACGCTTGGGTTGTGAACGTGATCCATGCCGGAGGCACGTTCACAACCCACAGTGTTCGCAACCCCCAGCACCGCGTCTGCGCATGCGCAGATCATGAGTCTGCACTTCTGCACATGCGCAAAGCGTGATTTAGCGCTTCTGCGCATGTGCGAATGCCGAAACCTGGAAGGAACCCGTTCTGGTACTTCCGGGTTTCGGCGCGTCCTTAACCCAAAAATGCACAACCTGAAGCGTCTGTAACCTGGGGTATGACTGTACTTGGATCTTCATTGAGGAGTATCTTGTCAGGAGGACAGACTGTGGAGAGGTGAGCCGAGAAGATTTTGCAGTCCTCCTTGTGTACTATTCTAAAATAGTCCCCACCCACTTCCTGGATGCTGTGAACACAGGGATCTGTTTCCATCATGTCTGGCCGGGCCTTAAATCAGCCTCATTCCATGGTGATTTAAATCACTCCCTGATGAGGGCACAGTTACACCTGGAGATCCCATCACTAGGTTCAGCAGTTCCAGCCATTACGACATGGGAGGTGCTTTGTAATATCTTCCCACATTCCATCAGCCTTTTATGGGCAGCGGGGAGGGTGTCTTGCCCCTCTGGTTAGTATGCCAGTTAATGCTGATTGATGGTGATGGCGTGTTTTCTCTTGCCTTTCGAGGAGCGTGGCTTCACCGTCGCTGAACTGACACTGAACTCCCTCTTCTCCTCACGCCTGAGAACCTGGAGCCAGATGTTACCGGGGCAAAGAATGCGAGATGAATAGAGGAGGCAGCGTAATGACAAGATGCTTTCAAGTTCTTTTGAGTTTCTAAGGGGGGATTAGGGACTCCCCTGGCGCTCTCATATAAGGAGAGTCTCTGGTAGCTGCCTTGGCAAAATCTGCCAGGGACCATGCAATTACATATTTTCCCCCCTCGTTAAATTCTGACTCTGATTGGGGCTGGGGGCTGGAATGACTGGTAGGGGGAAATGAATATGGTGAAAAGAGGTTCTCTCTTTCCTCCTGACATAATGAGGGTCTCAGGATTTAAGGGTGAATGGGAGTTCTGTCACCGGAACCAGAAGGCTCGGATGCAGGGAAGTAAAACCTGCAGCTCCCACCCCAGAATACACCTCCCTCCATCCCTGACCATTTACTATGCTGGCTGGGGGCTGATGGGAACGGGAGTCCAGCAACGTCCTCAAAAATATCCGTTCAACAGTACTTTGTTTATTCAATGATACGTTAGGTAGCTTCGTTTTCCAAAGTGGATTACAGACTTCCAGCGATGAAATAATAAAACCACAAATAAAGCAAATGCAGTATTTTAAGTAAAATAAAATAAAATAATAACAATGCAAATTTTAAAAACAACTCAGCCAATTTAAAAAAAATCCAGAAAAAATTACATAATTTATACTATGCTTTTTATTTTATTTTATTTTATTAATAATAATTTTTATTAAGTTTTCCATTTAACAATCCAATCATATCACATTAATTATTCCAAATTATACCAATACATATCATAAAGTTCAAATATTTTGCCAAATAAAATATAAAATTTATATATTAAAAAATTATACTATGCTTTTTAAGGTGTAAACCTAAAGTGTCATGTGTGAATGCTATAAACATGTTTTGAAGCACGGCGTAAAAGCTGTCCCAAAAAGTTTCTGTAGCAAAAAGCATGCTTTTTATTATTATTATTTTTAAAAAGAAAATAAAGATGAGGACATCATCTTTGAAGACACATTTTTCTTTCTTTGTAAGAGGGAAGGGAATTACTCTTTTTACTGCCCCCTGCAGCTTCTTAGAAGTACTGCAGTTCCCAGTCTCTCTTGGGGAAATGAGTGGCTGTTAAACCACTCTGAGAATTGTAGCCTTATGAGAGGAACAGAGGTCTCCTAAAAACTCTCAGTACCCTTAACAAACTACAGTTACCAGAATTCCCATGGCTGTTCAAAGCAGTACGATACTGCTTTAAATGCATAGTGCAGATGGGGCCATCCATAGGGTTGTGCTGTATTGATTAATCAATTCAATGTTGTGAACCCACTTAAAACCCATCGAACTTTTGATGTAATTTTTTATATATAAAATTATCTCTTCGAGGCATATTTCAAAGGCATTAGAAATCCAGAAAACCTATAAGGTAAATTAGTCCACTTTTAAATGTGTTTAAAATTCTATTTCATCTAACCTTGTCATATGTTGGTGCAAGAACTCATGTGTGCTTCTTTGTTGATCCATATCCTTCATTCCATATTGCTGGTATCTCAGATTTTCAGACTAGTTTGCTCACACAAACAGCAGATGAAGTAGAAAAAGTGTTTTTGGATTATTCTACTTCAGATTTCATGTATGGGGGAGAGTTTATATTGTTGAATGCTTTCCCTGTTGAAATATTAAGGATAGTAATAATAATAATAATATAATAATAATAATTTATTATTTGTACCCCGCCCATCTGGCTGGGTTTCCCCAGCCACTCTGGGCGGCTTCCACAAAGACCAAAAATACACTAATATGTCATACATTAAAAACATCCCTGAACAGGGCTGCCTTAAGATGTCTTCTGAATGTCAGGTAGTTGTTTATCTCTTTGACATCTAATGGGAGGGTGTTCCACAGGGCGGGTGCCACCACCAAGAAGGCCCTCTGCCTGGTTTCCTGTAACCTCACTTCTCACAGCGAGGGAACCGCCAGAAGGCCCTCGGCGCTGGACCTCAGCGTCCAGGCAGAATGACGGGGGTGGAGACCATCAGGTATACTGGGCCGAGGCCGTTTAGGGTAGAAGGAGAGGATATATTGATTAAATATTATCCTTCCTTCACTCACACTCGTGAGTCATGTAGCAGAGCAGATTCCCCTCAATACAACAGATTCATTTGAATCTCTTTAGTTTGAAGAAGAATAAGAATAAGAGTTTGGATTTGATATCCCGCCTTTCACTCCCCTTCAGGAGTCTCAAAGCGGCTAACATTCTCCTTTCCCTTCCTCCCCCACAACAAACACTCTGTGAGGTGAGTGGGGCTGAGAGACTTCAGAGAAGTGTGACTGGCCCAAGGTCACCCAGCAGCTGCATGTGGAGGAGCGGAGACGCGAACCCAATTCCCCAGATTATGAGACTACCACTCTTAACCACTACACCACACTGGCTCTCTAGTTAAGCAATCCAGTCTGGCTTGATCAGACTGGATTATTCCTGGTGTCCCATTTGACACATAAAGACACAAGAGTCTTCCCTTCAAAGTAACAAGAAGTTTACTCACATTCAGTTCACGGTATGATCCCTGAAGGCAGACTTTAGCTTGTAGTTACAGAACATAGTGTGAGTTCATCCCTTATGGGGATGGAGCCCATGTGCTGCTGGCTGAGAGCTAGCAGACAGCAAAATACATTAAAAGAACAGCATCAAGAGAACAAAATGGCTGTCAGAGAGCAGCATGGCCTCAAGAGAGAGATGGCTGTGTGACTCGGCTCTTTTATGGAGTCAGCTAGGGTCACACCCATCTGCCTGGTCACATGCAGGGGAAGGACGCCTCAGACCAGTGGAACAGGAAGTTATAGTGGCTGGAGTAACATCCCCCTGCCTGTGCCCACTCTAGGGAAACAAGGAATGTTGTATTTGACTGCTCCAATGGATTACATCCCACATTCCCATGGGGGAAGGTGCGGGAGATCCCTTCACATGGAAACCCTGCTTGTTATTGAGAGGTCTTTCCTTTGCTATAATTCTGTATGTACAGAGAATGCCCCCCACTCCCCAGTCAACAAAACTGTTGACATTCCACCTGAACGGCCTGCATCAATTTAACCACTACATCTGCTTCTCGTTGGAATTGGGTGCACATTTGCTATGGAGTACGCAACGCTAGCAGGATGCCAAAGTGAGCATAGGACATCGTATCTCCTAGTCCTGATGATTCTGAAAGAGCTTCTGTGGGTCGTCCATTTTCCCAAGCATCAGCTGAAACCAGAAGCTCCAAACGCTGTAACTCTATCTGCCCTGGAACTCAAGAGAGTTCATTGTGCAAGCAGAACTGAAGGCCTAAAAGCAGCAGAGGAACAGCAGGTGTTGTGCTGACATCCCTTCAGAGGAATCTGATTACCAGTTTGGTTGCTTCTCTCCCCCACCCCCCACCCCGCTCTGTCTACTTGATAGGGTAGTTTGGGAAGATGGGAGTGATGGTGCACTTTTAACTGGAGTACTGACAGAAATCAGGTGTCTTCATTTTGCAACGAGAAGCATTAACCCATCACAGGAGTTTCTCGTTGCTAGAAGATACTGCTCTCAAACATTTCCCACTAGATGACGCGACCCTTTTCCTTTACATTTGATTCTTGTGTGCCTTTGAAGAGCCTGCCCATCTGAAGCACCAAAAAGAAAATTCCAGAGGAGCTTTTGGAAGGGACGCACAGAGAGAGAGAGAGAGAGAGAGAGAGAGAGAGAGAGAGAGACGTCATCTGGGTTGGAAGAGAGCAGTGTATGTGTAGAAGGGATTAAGAATGCAGACAATGATCAGAATTCATCGCTCAGCAGGACTAGGTCTACATTAGTGCAGGGAGAAGAAATGGCAACAGCCTACAGAGCTATTATTGTTAGAAGAGTAAAATGTTAAATGGGAAACGAGGTGTTGCCTGTTGACAAAGTTTATTTTGAATCGTCACAATGTGTTGAAAGTTTGTATTGACACAACAAAGTAGCACTAGGTTGGAACTGCTGTTGCCAGTTCATTTTGTTTTAGTACATATGCAAACACTGAAATAAAATGCATAATTAACGTTCGGAATGTGGCAACAGCTTTTTCTTTCTAAAACTTTGACAAATTTGTGGAGAGCATTCCTACCAATGTTTACTAGTGGTGACTAGGGGTATAGGATACATTTAATTCAGTACAAGTTTAAAGCCAAATCTGGCAAATCTGTACTTTCCAAAACAATATGCGGAATTTTGAGATGCAGTTCTCCAACCAAGTAATGATTACAAAAATGTATATACTGGGAAAATGCATGCATAAAAATTAAGACACTAGTGAACATAACATACAAACATGAATTATATTGGATGAAACCCCTTGCAAAAAAAAATTGTATGGTAGTCAAAACTGCATATAAAATGTGTTTATTTGGAGAAATTTGCAGTGAAGTCCTGACAAATTTTCAAGAGCGTTTTTTTTTAAAAATAGTTACAAGATGTGGTGAGCTGAATGTGGGGGAAATGTGAAACTGAGAAATCTGAAATTGACAGATCCTTCAATCCCTAGTGGTGACAAAGGGGGGGGGGGGCTTGCAACAAAATGTTGCAGTATTTCTTCACCTTCTAACAGCAGTCCTGTTCAGTGTTTCAGACAGACAGACAGACAGGCAGGCAGACAGACAGATGTGCCCTCCTCCATTCCCCTTCCCCAACTTGTTTTCTGTTTTTCCCTTTCCAACTGGCACATTGTTACGTGGCTACTAAGCACACTCAATTGTTTGTAGGAGAATTGTCCCGTTAGGTTTCGGGTTTGTTATTTTAAGGGGTTGGGGTTGTGTCTTTTGTTGTTGTTGTGCTTCTTCAAACCTCAGAGTTTCTCCGAGCACACTGATACCTCCCTCTTGTTTTTCAGTGGCCCTGTTTTGGCTCCAGTCCTGACTCCACTATTGGAGAGAGTGACAGATAAATAGAATTTCAAGTTCAGAAGTGATGGGAACAAAACTGATGGGGATGGATGGGGTCCCCTTTTGTGCGCGAGCTTACAAAAGAAGCAGGCTGTCGGATGTTGGTCTCTTTGATCCTGCAAGGCAATTATAATGTTCTTGAACTACTGTTGGCTTTCTTCCAGCCATTATTCACTCAACATCGCAGGTGTGGTAAGAGTCCAGCAAAAGCTGCCCTACTGGATTCTTCTATGTGCATAGACTGGCTTCAGGGACTCAGGAACACAGGAAGCTGTTTATGCAGAGTGAGACCATGGCTCAGGATTATTTATGCTGGCTCTCTGTGGTTTCAGATAGGAGACATTCCCAGCCTTGCTGGGCGATGCTGGAAATTGAACCAGGCACATTCTTCACGCAACACAGATGCTCTGCAGTTGAGCTATGGCCTTTCCCATAAAGGAAGTGAGTTTCTATAGCATTGTTCAGCCAAAGGAGCCCTAAGACCACTGGTGATGAAAATGGTCTCAAAATGTTAATAAAAACATTGGGGAGGAACCAACTGAGTTTGGTTTCTGGGCAATTGTCTACCTCCACCTAAAAGGAAAGGTTGGGGAGTGTCTCTGCAAACATGAAATCCAAGCAGAGAATTTTGATGGGGAAAGGGGAGGAATCTGGGAAAGCCAGGAGAAGCAGCACAGAGGCTTTGCTTGGAAAGAAACGTCCTTCTCTTGAGCTGAAGAATGCAAACAGGAAGAAGCTAATAGTCTTTTGGAGTGTGTGCAGCTGCATGTGAGTCTGAAGACATTGAATGCTCTGCCGGCAGTTATTCAGTCTGCACCTTACAATAGAGGAGAAACACTTGCTTTGACACTGCATTTGATAACTGTTTTGTAGCCTGAGTGGAGATCTTTTCATTTACTGGGAAAAGGAAGGCAGCTGTGGCTGTCTTCAGCTAAACTTGCTATTCTGTATGTGATGGTATTCATTTTCTTTCCAAAAGGGGGTGGGGGAAGAAAGGAAATGCAGGTGGCTTTTGGTTATTAACTAGAAAAGCTTAATCCAGTCCAGAATATCTCAAGCAGCTTCCTACAAATGAATCTGTGGCATTTACTGTGATATACTAATGCTTCTTTGTGTGTTGCTCGGTATTGTTTGAAACTCTTAAGATGGCTCCTTGGAAACAGGAGATTCATATCTGATATGTCACTCTCCTCTTCCAGGAGTAGGAAAGTTTGGGAAGGAAAAAAAACAGAGGGTGAGAATTATAACAATATCTTCTAATTCAGGTGTCAATCAGCCATTACTCCAGGTACAAAATTATGCACACTCAAATTATGCAAATTGAGAAGATAATTCCTTCTAAATTGCCTTTTCAAACAGGTTGCCTCTGTGTTTCGATTTGGACGGCTTTAAATGACCTCACCCTAGTTTTCTCCAATTGTTCCTGATTAGCAATTGACCTTCTGCTGGCTCCTTTCTTCAATCTGATGCAACGAGGGCCCCTCTTTTTTCCATTAGAGTAAAGGTTCTGTTTCAGATAGGCTTGCTGAAACAAGTCTTTTCAGTTCTCCATTTGCAAGGATTTTATTAACACATTTTTGAGCCTGCTTGAGATTCTGCTTGAGGCTGAAAAAATCTATATTTCTTGCT